GCGGCCGGGAGGACCCGCCCCGCCCCGCCCCTTCCTTCTCGTCTCGCATCCACCCGAAAAGCTCCAAATACCGACAAATTTCAACTTTCTGGGGATGACGTCATGGATGACAACTCGCCGCTGCTTGAATATTCGCTTTGTTTTATTCAAACGCCAGAGGTGAAGTACAAACTGTAGTTACACAGCATTTTGTTTCCTTAAAAACAGTTCTTGGTTACATAATTCCAAACAACTTTCAAAACTAAGTTGTTGAACAGTTTCACCTAAAATGTTGCTTTTTTTCAATCCATTTAAAAAAGGGGTTGAATTAAAGGAATCGGAATTAAAAGCAGTTAAGTTTTTTTCACTCTACAAAAAGGAAAGTGAGGATGCAGTTACAGATAGTTCACCACAGATTCCCATTTTTGGGGGTACTGAGCTTCTGCCATAAATATCCTCAACTCCAAACGCAGCTTTTTCTGTACCATTAGTGGGTCATTTAACCTGAAAAAAAACTGAAATCCCAAGGGAAGTATCTGTTGCATCTGACTACAACTGCATGTCACACTGCTTCTCGGGATGAAGACAAATATTACGTAAAATTTACATGACAAATTAACACAAAAATAGGGCCAACACATTTGCGGTATCCTCTCCTGTCCTAAAATATCTACCAGACTGAAATGAATGATCAAAGTTTAATTCAAAGGATATGAATTCAAGTTTTAGAAAAAAAGGGTCAGTAAAACTTAAGTCCACGTATCACCGAAGGACAAAACAAAAAGTTGTATGCCAACCATTTTAATTTCTGAAACCAAACCATACATATCCTTTAGTGTTTTTACAAAGGGTTTCCTAAAGGATTGAATAAGTTTTGGTGTAGAACAGAGGAGAGAAGATCACTTTGCTGTGAGACTAAATCAAAGACAACACCACAAGATGCAATACTAGCATTTGAGCGTATAACTTAAAAAGCACTGTGTCCTGTGAACAGTCACTACTGATTACATCAAAAATATGATACATTTACTTCTTCCACCTCTTAAGCATTATAAGATAGGTTGGGCAAATACCTGGCACCAAAAAATTGATGCATGATAGTTCCAATACGTTGAACAAAATGTACTATATTAGAACATTAATATTTAAAAATTTATGTTGACTTCTCATCCAAATTCAGATGGCTTACCACTTCCTAGAAATCCTGCTCACCCCTCTGGAAAAAAACAGCAAATTGCTGACTTTCCCTTCTTTCACAGTAGTCAAGGTGACTAAAAGTTGCTCCTAATGGAGAGGTGAAGGAAAAGATGTTATTTATCACGTTCAAACTGCTGTAACAAACGAGTGTCACATATCTGCAAAATCTCCCAGCAGTGTCCTAAAGCGTGTCCCGGTTTTTCCCAAACCCTGTTCCCAGGGCTTCCTCCCCCACCAATGTAACAGGTCACTCCAGCACCAGTCGGGCTTCCAACACCAGCACAAATCTAACACTGACCTGAACATAACCCCCTGCGAGTCCTACGAGGAGCTAATAGAGTTTATTCACCCTCTAATTAGTAATCTTGATTTCCCATTTGTAGAGTAATGTTATTGTAAAATCTAACTATTGGCAGCACCCGCGTTGCTGGTTTAGGTTCTAGAAGGAGCAATCCAGGTGCTGCTGTGTTTGCTAGACATTTTAATTGAACGAGTGTCATGTACAATTCATATCTGAACGTTAATGCCATCCCCGTCCACGCGGCGGCCGCCAAATAAATCACTGTGATGTTGCAGCAAAATACACGATCTGATTTAGCTAAGAAAAGTTCCTCATCACGTATCAGAGCCGAGAGAGATCCGAGGCCTGTAGGGTCAGGCTGAAGCCAATCGTAAGGGAAGAACCAAGAGCGTTTTGCACGGAGCGTTCTGACAGCATTTAATGGTTGGCAGCGTCGGCTTGTCGAGGCCAGCCTTCCTCCTCAACGCCAGAGTCATACTCCTCTTCAGATGAATCTTTTGTGGGAGCCCTATAATTAAAACGAACTGATCAGATATTTCAGAAATGGAGGAAAAGAATGGAGACAGTTCCCATAGCTTCTGGGGAAGCATTCCACTTGCAAAGTGACCCAGGAAACTGTGTTCTGACCAGCTGTGGAGATTTATGCTGCTACCAGTATGTGGTCTTATGATTGAAAATCAAAAGGCTACTGAGTTCAAGTTAAGTTATTAAATTTACTAATTAAATTGAACATTTCCAGCAAACATGAATGCTGGTGCTCTACAAAATCACTGAAGGCAACTGTCAGTGTAAGCTTTGCACCTCCCACTCTGACCATCCCCTCTGAGACAGGAGGTGTGTGGAGCCAGGCCTCAGCATGGACACAGGGGAATGCAAAGCAGGTACCTCAGCAGAGAAAGTCACTCAGAAAAGTTGTCAGGGGTAGAAACAACCCAAAACTCTTAAATTTCAGAACTGTGTTTCAGCTGGCCCATTCCCTCTCAACTCCATCCTTTGTTCATTAGAATTCTGGTTATTTTTTTTTAAAACCCAGGCTTGTCCAGTGCCTTCAGCATTGCATATCATTACCATAATACAACCTTTACAACATTACACTGATTATTTTGAGTTCAGCAATCAGTAGATGTGCCTTTGTGGCTCTCCACTGCTGCAAGAGCAATGGAGAAAACCGCAGCAGCCTGAAGCTTGCATCAAAAAAAACACAACCCAACAAACCAACCCCCAACATCTCAGTGGTAAAAAACAAAGGGAAGAAAAAAATTCCATTTCAGGTATTTCAGTCGTCACAATTAAACTTCAGATTTTACTGTTAATTTCTAATGCTTACAATTTACTTCTGTTTCTACAGGTATACACACACACACAAAAGGCTTAAAGTAACTTCATATATAAGTTTATTTTTAAATGTCTGCTTAAAAACTAAAACAATACAAACCCAAGGTCTCTAGGACTGAACAGGCACTCACTCAGCTGTGTGCAGTGTACAGAGAACTGGATCCTTTTCAGGCTGTGGGCATGGTTTTGGGTTTATATGCTCATTCTTAGAGCAAACATCCCAATACCTGTCTAGCTGCATTACTCATCTGTTGTGACACTTCTGCTATGGTGTTACCTAATGTATCCTGGCTCTTTTTTGCCTTCTACAACATCTTTGTCAACTTCCACGCATACAATGTCAGAATTGGGCACTTCAAACATGGGTTCCAGCAACAGTTTTTCCTACAAAAAAACAGAGGGGAAAAACAATAATTCCATATGCCCTCTTCCACATAAAAATAAAGTTAGTAAGTGATTATCAGAGATAGAGGATTTCCTTGGAAGAACTCTAAATACCCATCTCTAAAAAGATTTGTTGTATCAGTATATGATCCATAACTACGTGAGGTTTTGACTGAAAATTGTCATGATTAAATCCACACCCATGAACATAGGTAGCTTCATTTACTCAATGTGAGACTTCATTTACTTACCATTATAGATCGAAGACCTCTTGCACCAGTTTTTCTGTCCAGGGCCAGTCTGGCTATAGCCTTCAATGCATCTTCAGTCACATTTAGTTCACACTACAGACAGAAAAATGCTAACTTCAGTTACTTATTTAATTTCTAACTCAGAGTGTTGAGCGTGACAGCGCAAGTGTTACTGACCATAATAAACAGTAGTGATTTACTTATTACAGATCACAACATTTAACATTTCAGCTAAGGAAATGGCCTCAAGTTACACCAGGGGAGGTTTAGGTTGGACATGAGGAGAAGGGTTGTCCAGGGCTGTGCCAGGCTGCCCAAGGGCAGTGGTGGAGTCCCCACCCCTGGAGGGGTTTCCAAGCCGTGGAGATGTGGTGTGAGGGACACAGGGCAGTGGGGACCTGGCAGTGCTGGGGGAATGGTTGGGCTTGATCTTGAAAGTCTTTCCCAACCTAAAAAATTCTGTGATTCTATACATAAAGCTTCGGCTACACTTTATACTTAACTAACATTACCAGTATTGACTACGTCCCTCTACGTACAAGGGCTACAAGTCTCTCCGCAGCACATGGAGTGGCTCTTGATGCCTCTTAGACAAGGTCATGGGTGTGTTTGAACATTAACATGAAGAGCAGCTCAAGTACTTCCAAATCCCTTGCCTCACAAGTGCAGTTAGCCAGTCTAAACCAGTCAGGTTTTAATGAGTTAGCTTGCTTTTTTTCCCCTCCAGAGCTGGGAGGTGCACATGTGAGGGAAAGAAGTGATTTCAATTGATATTTTAGATTGGTTTTTAAACCTCTTTTGATAAACAAGAATCTTGAAGAGTCGTCAAATCAAAATTCAAACCTTATCCATGCTGAATAGTGCCTGGTATTGGGGAACCACAGCATTTCGTGGCTCAGTAAGAATCCTCACGAGGGTTTTCTCATCTAGGCTGTGCAGAGGAACCACAACGGGCAAACGTCCCACAAACTCTGGGATCATCCCAAACTCAATGAGGTCTCTGGCTTCCACGTGCCGCAGCAGGCGATCCTTCTCTTCAATATCCTCATGGGGATCAGACTCCCCGCTGATGTTTGCCAGATCAGCTGCTGCTGCAGCCCTTCTGCCTTTTCCCATATTAGATGGTGTCCCAAATCCTAGATACTGCAAAACAAATGAGTTACACTTACAGAATTATAGTAGTTACGTTTTCTTTACGTAACTAAATCTCATTCCCTGTGCATTAAAAGTCTGGAGTGACTGTCACTATGCACTAATTCAAGCTCAGTAAATTACTTGTTGTAAAATTAGACCCCTTGCACATAATCAGTTTCTCAGAGCATTTAATTCCCTCAGCAAAGTATCAACACGTCAGCCCAAGAGCAAGTTTTTCTTAGAATACAAAAGGTTATGGTAAGTGACAGTAAAAAGGCCTCTTCAGAAGGGAGGCAAAAGTAGTCATGCCTGTTTACATGAAAAGCTACATGAATTATAAACAGTTGTTTGGATTTCAATCACTCCCCTGCTAGAAACAGGGTCCTAGAACTGTTTCACATATTCTGTTTTTAAGAGACACAAGACATGATAATAATGTAAGAAGTTCACCACTCAAGTATGGAACAGCAAGTCCTCTACCAACAGCTTTCAATCTTCCTCCTCCACCTCTAGTTTCTCCTATTTGCATATGCTAAAAATTTCTCTGGCAGCAAAGACCACTGCAAGCTACTTAAGCCTGCTAACAATAGGCTTGTTCTTTGCTACCTTAGGCTTGACCCCAGCTCCCAGATAACACATGGAAAAAAAACACTGCTCTTAAACATAGTGCCTCTACACATACAGCAAGACCTTTAGGAGTCAGTATCGTGAACAGTAATTAAGATAGTAATTTTTTCAGTTCAAATACAGCCTGATGCACTCACTTTTTCATTTTTCCTCCTGCTGATAATTCTGTCAAGACCATTAAAAGCACCAGAAGCTACAAAGAGGATGTTTGTTGTGTCAACCTGCACCGTTTCTCCACGTAGTTTACGAGAATTCTTTTCTGGAACGTTTACTATTGTGCCTTCTAGTAATTTTAACAAGCCCTAAGAAGGGAAGAAGAAATAAGCAATATAAAATTTCACTGTGTAGCATCATAGAAGGCACACAATACTCTGCTTCCTTTCACAGATGTACTTCTATTTTGTTTAATGCCTTATGCATTTATAGTAAGAGTGTCTAAAGCAGTTTTCCATATGAGACAATCCAAATCAAGGACAAACAAAAGTTTTCATTTAACATTACTCTCATGCATACTGAGCTGCACTTAATAACAAGTTCCTTAAGAGTTTTGTCAAAATGGAAAATGTTTCATTAAACAACCTGCTATATGAATGCTCCAAAGATATTTTGCAATCAGAACATTTCTATGAGGCAGTCTCTAGTTGCTTTTCAGACTTTTTTTTTAACTAAGAAAACTGAGGAAAGATGAGGGTTTCAAAGGCTAATAATTAAGGAGCTGAAGAACTTGACTCTCTACCCTCCCATGCTACTTGATGTATGATAGGATCACATGTAGACTTGACTGGCTGTTCACTTATGAAGTGAAATGACTCCACTGAAGTGCTTACTTGTTGAACACCTTCTCCTCCAACATCCCGTAACTGATGAATACCAGGAACACTGCCAATCTTATCTACTTCATCCAGAAAAACAATTCCTGCAGTTACAGAAAAATGGATTGAAGGAAGATTCCACTTTTAAAAAGAACCAAGAACTTACACACAGGCAAGAACCTGATTTAAGACAGCAACAGCCTGTTCTGCTTCCGTACTGTAGACTGCAAAAATTCACACAATATTGTCCAACTATGGACAAGAATAAACAGTACAGGATATGATCAGAGCTCTTTTCAGGTTTATTATTTCTGAATTAAAGGGTTAAAATTTAGGTACATGCAACAAGAGTGTAAGTTACAGAAACACTGGTGGTCTCAAAGCTTAGAGCATTTTGGCCAGAGACTATGAGTGAACTTTGGGAAATGAGTTGTAGCTTACCTTGCTGAGCTTTTTCTACATTGTAGTTGGCATCTTGCAGGAGTTTTGCAATGACAGATTCAATGTCTTCACCAACATAGCCAGCTTGAGTCAAGGTTGTACAGTCACAGATAGCAAAAGGTACATCTAGGCATTTAGCTAGAGTCTGAGCCAGCAAGGTTTTACCTGATGAAATAAGAACTCTGTAACAAACTTCCATCCATTTCTCCAGAGCACACAAACCCAAGTATTTACCACAGGAACACTGTTGCCATTATCAGACATTTTGAATGATCCCAGCATGTTCAGATATCCTTGTAAGATTTTTTTCCAAGAGAGCCAGCTTTCATAAACAGTGGTTTTTACATTGGCAAGCTGCATCTCTGAATTAGACTAATACCACACATTTGAGGCAGCTTGAAATGCATACAATAGCACAACCAAAATGTCACACGATATAAAAACCAAAATACAGGTACTTGCATAGATTAAGGATTAAATAAATCAGAAGTCCTTTGCAGACACTCAGGGTGCAGTGCAAAGTCCAATTGCTCCTGCTTTGGAGTTGGGGAGAAACAGAATGAAGGTATTATTTAGTGAATGTTCTCCCAAACAGTATGCAAAATGCTATCACTCAGTGCAAACTCTCCCACTCCTTATGAAAATACAAATATGAGTTCTTTTTTAATCCCCCTGCAACTGGTCTGTCCCAGAGATGAAACACCACTAACCACAGTAACTCTACCTGCCATCTAAAGCATAGAAACTTTGCATGTGTCTTATTTCAGCTTAGTGGAACTTGTACCCTTTAGTAAATAATATAGGCACTTAAAAGAAAGAAAGGAAAACCCCACGACCACACCTCCTTCCTTTTCAAGGCCATTTAGCTCAGCTTGTTGCCATGGCATAAAGCACAAAAATCCCAGTTTGGAATTCACAGTTCAGTTTTTTTTTTTTATACACCCAATTGGAATAATCACAAAAGAGGAAAATCACTCGTTAACAAATAATTCTACGAAAACCCCCACACCTATAAAAACCATGCAGCTTTTTACCTGATCCAGTTGGTCCAAGCAGCAAAATATTACTTTTTTCAAGTTTTATGTCATCATTGGGTGAATCTAGTACTTCTCCTCCCCGTTTTTCCTGAGGTATCTGCTGGTTCATTTGTTGCTGCATCGATGCTCCTAGAGCGTTCCCGTGTGGGCTGATTCCAGCGATCTGCAGCAGCTCTGGGGAGAACAGTGAGAGCACTGTTTGAGCACTTCAACACACAGTAAAAGCTTGGTTCTTCTGTTTTGGTTTGCAAACCTGTAATTCTGTCTGCACAGAAGTTTACAGATAGCACCTCAACAGAAATATGGCATAATTGTACTGAAACATGAGTTCAAATTGCATTTTTGCCCAAGCACATATGAAATGAACTTTCAATGGCACAGTGGATGATCTAAAACTACTTCCCTACATAGAAAGAAAAATGTTCAGTCTCTACAAATTAACTAATTTTAAACTTTTTTTAACACATGAGAAGAAATAAACCCAAACTGTTGATCTCTATGATGAAAAAGCACAAGAACTGGTATACAACAATTACAAAAGCAATCCACAGATCTTCTCTCAAGATTTTAAAGTCTTTCCTCAGTGGTGGTTTGGGTGTTTTTTTTAGGTTTTGTCTCTACACACTGATACAGAGATTAAGCTGGACTCTCTTTTTTCAGAGCACTAGTTTTCATTGGCTTGCAGGGTAGAATTTTGACAATCAAGAAACCTGGATTAAAGAAGCATAACTGGGATTACAAATTGATCTACACCAGACTAAGGGAGAAGTTCAATAGCCACTGAACTGAAAATAAACATCACTGACATCACTCAGACACCAAAAAAGAGCCATTCTGAGGTTCAAGGTGATAGTGCCTTTTAAGAGTACACCCTGCAGAAAACAGTTGCATAACCCTCCTTTATTATCTACCTCACTTCATATTCTGTATGATATTACTAACATAATCACTCCAGATACCTAAGTAAAAAGAAAAAAAATCAATTTCACTTGGTCTACTGAGAGTAATTCCAAGGACATTATTATTTAACCAACTTCATAAAAGGTTTTTTTACCTTTTACCTGCTTTCCACCTAGAACTAGAGTCAAATCCTGGACACCTCTGTTGAAAACACTCAATGCCTATTACTAATATAATCACACCAGATATCTAAGTAAAAAGAAAAAAAAATAAATTTCACTTGGTCTACTGAGAATAATTCCAAGGATATTATCATTTAACCAACTTCATAAAAGGTATTTTTACCATTTACCTGCTTTCCACCTAGAACTAGAGTCAAATCCTGGACACCTCTGTTGAAAACACTCTATGTCATCAATTAAATTTACTTGCAGAAGAAAAGCTACCAGGATTTTAGCCAACAGTTCAAACTAGCAGTCACTAAAGTCTGTTCTGCATTAACATCAAAAGAAGAGATATTGCAGAGGAGGACATGAGGAGAGAGTTCACTTACTTGTAAATCTGTACTCATCCTCCCGTCTTCTGATTTCTAATTCTAAGAGAGAGGATGAAAACAGTAATAAAAATAAGTTTAAAAAAGCTTATCAATTCTCTACCTCTTGCCCTCTTCTGAATACATCTCATCACTGTGCATGAGTGTATTTCTCACATGAAATCCCCACATGAATTACAATTTATTGCTGGCAAAATCAACCCAGTACCCAACTTGCATGCTTTCAAAATTACAGAAAGCTCTGTACTACTGAAAACAGTAACAGACTTTTACCTAGACTTTCACTTTAAAGCCAATGGGGTAAAAAAAATGCTACAATATAGCTTTGTTTTGAAAAGGCTTCCTCAAAATCTCCCATTTATATCCAAGTGTTACAGTGTAAGACTGTAGATATTTCAAAGTGCTATCTATTATAAATGTTCACTACCAGTCCCTCTGGCTGAGCACCATTTTATCTTCCTGGGGAGGGTCAGGAAGTTTTCTGTGCCAGGTACACAACTGCTCTCCTGCCATTACCAGAAAAGTGCTCCTAATGTTTCCCCCTCAGTTAAAAACACTACTTTACATAAATTAAAAAAAAACAAAGAGGATTCTGTTTGCTTAGCATGCTATTTATTACAAGACAGAACAAAACACCTTTAAAAAAAATAATCAAGGTACACTTTGAATCAGAGACAGAAACTTAATCCTACTTCTAAAAATAAATTAGACCAACATAGCTACACAGTTACTCAGTAGCAAAAGTGCTGCCAGGAGTAACTCCATCTATACTTGCTAGATATGGAACAATGCTTTTGGTGACCAACAGATGCTGCCAGTAACAGCAAGTGAGGTTAGAAAGCTAAATATTCATCAAACTCACTATGCAAAATATTGCCTTCATGATTGCTGCTTGCAGATGCACCAGATTTACTGCTAAGCAGTCAAGGAGATTAGAAAGGAAAGTTTAGGAGGACTCAGATGAAGTTAAAAGGAAAATACCTACAAAAATGTGTCAGTAACAAATGCTAACAATGTAATACCATAGGCAATATCCATGGCACCATAAACCTTCTGGATTACTTTTAAATAAATCACAGAAGTGTGAAAATTAAACAGAAATCCCTTTAGCTCATTCCAATTACAGAACATCTGGTGTTGAGGTAAAACCTTTCTCAGGTTTCTTAAGTTAGAACCCTGAAATGGTAAGTTTACGTGGCCAGAAAAACACCCAACATCATACCAACCTCTTGGTGTTAGAGAAGTCTGCTTTTCAACTTCTGCTTGCTGCCTCAGGTTAGCTGGGATATTGTTGTAGATCCTCTTGTAATGATTGTACACAGCAACTGAAAGCACCTTCTTGGCAAAACACTGACCAACAACATATTTGTCGAGGTAGTTATAAATCTGAAAAATAAGTCAAGTTTAGTAACACTTGCAAGCTGCCTTGTGGAAAAATAAGTATATTGTGCCAAAGCTGGACTTTGGTCTAAACCAACCGTTACACAACTCAGGAAGAGAAACCCAGCATTTAAAATACAGAATATATTCCTGTTGATAAGTTTACTTAAAGTGGTGCTTACACAGACATAGTGTGTCTGTCAGTTCTCGCTACCAATATTTAAACCCATTGCCATTTTCACCCAAAGTTGTAAGAGGAAGAGAAATGACAAGAGTATTTAATGTCTTACAAAAGGTCTATCTAGTGGCCACATGCAGCTTCAGAAATCACTACAATCATAGAATCACAGAGTCGTTCTGGTTGGAAGAGACCTTCAGGATCATCAAGTCCAACTGTTACCCCAGCACTGCCAGGTCCCCACTGGGAGAACAGACTGACCCCCACCTTGCTACGACCTTCTTTTGGGAATTAAGAAACACAATAAGCTCCCTCACTGTTTGGGAGAGGGAAGCCAAACGACTTAGGATGGGTCACTGCCAAAGCTGATCAAGCCACAGTTCTCATCCAGAACCAGGCCGAAGAAACGACTCTGGAGCTACAGAAAGAAGCTTCTAACATGGGGGTGCAGTATGCAATGCCACAGCAGGAAATGGAAGAGACTGTGGTTGATGAGGGTTGAGTTTAGTCTCAGGGTCACAAGGAGAAAATGAAGGTACTGGACTTCAGTCACAAGACAAAGCCAGAGGAAAACAAGCCCAACTACTTTATTGGATCTCCTTGTTCCCTTTATCAGTGCTCTGCTGGCTCACGTAGCTCTCAGACGCTTAACCTGGAGCTAATCCCCTTTGGTTGTTGCTCTGTCACACTGGACTGCTCCACACGTGATGCAGATGAAGAAGTCAAACACTTCCCTGTGCTGTAAGCCAGGGGAACACCAGGGGGGCATTATGAGCCATACCTTCTTCGGTGGAGGCGGTGGCTTCTGCTGGAATGCCAATTTCACAGCCTCTGCTGCTGACTCGGGCTCTTTAATGATGCTCTTCTTTGTGTCTGCCTCTGACAGCACCACAAAAAAATGGTGACACTTCTCACACTTCACAAAACGTGTGGAAGCTGCAGGAAAAAAAAAAGTAAAAGAAAATGGTAAGAGGAGTTGCTTTGACAGCATTCATGAGGACAAGGACCTGTAAGACAGTAGAGCCACCTCTGTGTTTACACAGCACTTCCCCTCCTTTCACCTTAGAAGGTTTAAAAGCAATTATTGGACTACAAAATTTGACACAGAAGGAATACAATTTGCCCCAAAAGTCACAAGGCAGAGCAACAACCAAAGAAGGAATTAAAAAGCACAAATTTGTTTCATACTTAGTAGCACTACACTCAGAACTTCACATCATAGAGGGATGCAGAATTAATGAGGGCTCCTAAGTATGCAGGAATTGTTCCCAACTCTCAAACTAGCAGACAAATCCCCTGTGGTTAGGGACAGACCAAAGTGCAGGGAAACAATCAACAGCCTCAACAACAGCAGGCAGCAGGCTCAGGAATGGATGGCTGTGGCAGCTCCCAGGCTCTGCATCCCACTGGCTGTGGAACCCCATGGAGCACACTGGAGTCACCCAAGCCCAGGACACAGAGCACAGCGAGGTCACACAGAGGGCTCATCCCAACCAGAGGCAGCTGTGGTATGCAACAGATGATCAGGACTTGGATGTTTTGCAATAGCTTTTGCTTATTTATTTTTACTATCAAGAGTAACCCAATTTCTTTCAAATTCCAAAAGCCAAACCCTCCTACTGCTGTTGACTTTGTGAACTGTCTCAAGAAATCATGGTAGCTGCAAAGACTGGCTTCAAAAGCCTGAAAACTAGAACCCAAACAGGAACTGCAAACTAGAACTCACACTACTTTTTCCACCCTTGAAAAAGCAAAGTTGAAACAACTGAAAATAGACAGCAGACAAGAATTCATCATTCAAAACAGATCTTTTCAGCCCATACTGCTATGCTACTAAATGCAAACAACGGGCAACAGGACTGATTGAAAGTAAACATATCAATAAATGTGTTAAATTAAAAGCAAAGTAAATGTGGCAGAACAACCACCTGAAAAGCTTTCATGTCAGAACTTCTGAGACCACAACAGGTTTTCAGAAAATGGCTCGAGCAGTGTAGCAACCAGCTGATTTTAATAACAGCCTCTAGCAACAAACAAGCTGCTTATTTATAACTTGTTGTTGCCTCCTACAGAGCTGACATCAGCAAAAGAGGAGCAGGTGTTGGTTGTTTTTTTAACTATTAAACACACCTTACAACTAGGTAAGTAAGACCAGCAGAATACTTTAAGAATGCAGCACATAATACTGTAAGCATCACAGCTTTATTAACTCTGCTCCAAAGAAAATGTGCTTAACAGCTGGAAAGTTCTCAAAGTTCTCCTGGCAACAGTCCAAATTGCTGCTCTCTGCCTGCTGGGAACACGATGGAGAACCACATGCATGCACCCTTCTTCTATCACTATTATTTAGCAACAATATTGTAGGGAA